TATCCATAAATTGATTGATATAAAAAGACTAAAGATGTTTCTTTTTTTCTCATCATTGTGTCCTTGTTGGGATCTCTTGAACACAAACAGTATCAAACAGAGCTGTTGTGACTCTTCAGCCCCATTGGACTGAGATACACAGCGGAGAGAAGATCACTTTGAGATGTGAAATCGAGGGTGGAGACGACTCTGAGTGGGAGTATGAGTGGGAAACAACCAGCTCTGATAGATCTGTAAGACAAAGTGAATCCTTTGAAATCACTGCTACTTCTTACAGGGAAGGAGAATACAAGTGTAAGGGAAAACACAAAACTGAGGTACTTTCCTCAACACCGTGGAGCACTCCAATCACATTGACAGTATCAGGTAAGATGGACTTAAAATCAACATGAAAACAGTTTTTAGGATGTTTGTGTATGTTAAGAGAAACTATCATTCATAGCTGAGCAGTACTGAAATTGTGACTTTATTTCTTCATTGAGAAAGTTTTAGTGCAGATCACAGTGATTAAGTGTGTCTTTGGTACAATAAGTTTCATGGATGAAGTTCATGTGTATTTATTTCCATAAGGTATTTTATTAATGGCTATTTAAAGAAACAGTAATCATTTATATATCCCTGTTTTAAACTGAACAGAACAAAAACCAAAGGCTGAGCTGAAGGCTGATGTCACAGATATTCCAGTTGGAGGTTATGTGACCCTGACCTGTGATGTGAGCTCTTCATCTGGTTGGAAATACTACTTTGGGTACAGAGCAGATAAATCCTCTAACCCATCATCCATACATGATGTCTCCTCGGCTGGACAAATTAATGTCTCAAAGGAAGGACTCTACTGGTGTAGAGGAGAGAGAGGAAACCCAGTTTACTACACAGAGGACAGTAATACAATTCAGTTAAAAGAAAATAGTAAGTTTTGCATATTGACATTCTTTGGTGTAGATTTAAGGTTTTTTCATCTTTGTATACTTACTGTGAATTCTTCAACATTAGCGGTTGCAAACAAGGCTGTCGTGACTCTGCACCCCAACTGGTCTGAAATCTACTATAAAGAGTCGATTACTCTAAGATGTGAGATAAAGGATGGAGACGACGCTGAGTGGGAGTACGAGTGGAAAACAAGCAACTCATTCAAACCTCCAAAGGAAAAGGAATACAGTATTGGACCTGCTGATACATCACACAGTGGAAACTACAGTTGTAAGGGCAGAAAAAAAAGTGACCAGTCTCCAACAGGTTGGAGCGATCCCATCACATTAACGGTTTTATACAGTAAGTAACATTTCTTTATATAAACATTATACTGTACTATCAGATATTCCATCATTACATGGTTTTATTTCTTTGAATAATCACTTTTCCAACAGGTTCACCCCAGCCTGTCCTCACCGTGTCTCCACTCTGGCTGAGTCCTGGAGACTCTGTGACTCTGAACTGTGAGGTTAAACACCCATCAGCAGGATGGAGGTTCTACTGGTATGAAGCTATTCCCAAACTATCTGACAACTCCTACAACTCCTACAACTACCAGCTGCTATCTGGAAGCAGAAATGGAACTGAAAAGTATTCCTTCATTGTTCATGGACAGACACACACAGCAGGATATGTGTGCAGAGCTGGAAGAGGAGAAATGAACACTCCTTATAGTGAACCAAAGTTTGTCTGGTCTGGAGGTCAGTTTGTTTCTGTCTTTATCTTGAGATTAATATCTTTATTCAGTTTTGATCTATGAACAACATAGAGTTTCTTCAGTACTTTTGTCTGTATTGTACAACAATCCAAGAGCAAGATAGGAATCGATCACGATGACTTCATGCTCTTTCTTTCCCCTTCCTTTTAGTGAACAACTTTTCATTGAGTTGTAAGCGTGTATACATACATATACATTCTCAAAATAGTTCAACAGAAAGCTCAATATCTACACTCGATTATCAAAATAAATACACAACTTAACTTGGAGCTAATGTGCAGGTAGTTTGTAAATATATCTTCATCTGTCTAAATAGACAATTTAAAAGCATCATATATGTGGTGTGTGTGTATCCACAAGTGCATATGCATGAGCCTACAGTACAACATACACAGGCAAATGCCAAACTCGTTTCCTTGGTGAGTGGTTGTTGTTGTTTTTGGTAGCATGAAAAACACTAAAAGGAAGATTATTAGATTCTATCACTTAAATAATCGTTCAATAAAAACATTTTACTTTGTATAATTAAGCATCTTATTGCTAATTTCTGACTCTCACATGTGAGGGCTTGTATGATTAAAATAGTTGGTCAGTAATCAGTGGTATGTAGACTCTATATGAAAAATCTAATTCAGCCATTCCTGATAAAACAGTATATGGACTGATGGAAAAGAAGGGAAAAAACCAAGCCACAGACTTGAAACACAAATAAAAAGTAAGAATGCAACTACTCATGGAGAAACATCGTTTTGAAATGTTAATCCTTCATATCTTTGAAAAATCACAGGTCAAAGAAAGTCTTTCAATTTATAGACAGAAGCAAGAGTTCCTTGGTTGTCTATCTTAATTAAATATAAAGTCCAATGGCAGCTAACGGTCTGGGCTTTGTTGAACCTCTTGTTTCTTTCTTTCTTTTTAGATTTGCCTTCATCAGCATCTCTCACAGTGAGTCCTGAAAGAGTGCAACACTTCACCTCTGATTCTGTCTCACTGGAGTGTAAGGGGAACTCTACTCAGTGGAGAGTGAAGTTTCAAGAGGACAGCTTCCTGGCAGATTGCTCCCTGAGGGATACAATGACTGGATCAACATGCACAATAGAGGAATACAGATTGAGAAATAATGTGTACTGGTGTGAGTCTGGATCAGGGGAGTTCAGCAACGCTGTCAACATCACTAAACAGAGTATGTTTTTATTACATTTCTTCTTAAAGTTTTTATCTTTCAGCATCCAAGTATTCAATTCAACATCATTCAGTTCCACGTTATCTCCATCGACATTGAGAAGTAAAAGAGCAGCCCAGTGTGGGAGAGTTTACTCTCTTAATTAGATAAAAGCAAAGATTAAGGTCTGAGTGTATATCATTATTAAATACTGATCACATTTG